TACTGCCTTCACACTTGGGAGGAGCTCCCCATAAACCTCTGCAAAACGAACTCATTATCTTCCTTCAAATTGCTCCTTAAAACTCTCCTCTGCCATGAAGCCTACAAAAATTTGACAATGGTTAGACTGCTGGTGCATTGAGGGCACTGCCTACCATGCTGACCCATACTGCCGCATTGTTCTCACAGGTCCTCTGGCCTAAGTCTTAATAAATACTGTCTAGAATCAGGTTTCAGAGTAGCAGCCGTGTTAGTCTGTATCCGTAAAAAGAACAGGAGTACTTGTGGCACCTTAGAGACTAACAAATTTATTAGAGCATAATAAAATTTCGTGGCTGTAGTCCACGAAAGATTATGCTCTAATAAATTTGTTAGTCTCTAAGGTGCCACAAGTACTCTTTGTCTAGAATCAATAAGTATTGAGCTCTCCACACCTCTGCGCCTAGGTCTGCGGCTTACATAGGGGCACACTCAAAGGTGTGACACTGTGCTACCTCTTCATCTTTCCAACGTTGTCATCACCATTTTCATTTTGCTTCTTGGGTTTTCTAATAGGAACACAGGCATTATTATTAACAATAACAATAGTGTTTTCATCCATAAATCTCAAAGCATTTTACAATATCAAGTGAGACAACAGGTACTTGCCTGAGAGGATGAGAAATTTAGCAGCCTTTGTATAACCTTGTTAGCTTCTGGTGGACCCCTGGCAGAGCTGTCAGGGGCATCTCCAATTGTTCCAATTCACTCTACTTTGGTTCTAGGAAATCTCATTTTATTGGAATATTTTAGCGCTGGTGGAAGGTGCTGACTTGATGACCCTGGAGACTGTAGCCCTATATCCACAAGACAGGGACAGCATGAGCTGCAGCAGGGCAAGCTTCGCTCTCACCAACCCATGTGCCTCATCCTTGCCTTGGATAGGGGAGTTCAGTCTCCTTGGCTCATTCAATCCTTGCCATCTGCTGGGATTGCCAAAAATGGAGGTCAGTTAGTGCAATCCTGGTGGTGGTGGATATTGTTATTTTGTTGGTCACCATTCCACTAGGACAGTGGTTCTCAAACTTTTGTACTGGTGAAGCCTTTCACATAGCAAGCCTCTGAGTGCGACCCCCCCCCTTATAAATTAAAAACACTTTTAAATATATTTAACACCATATAAATGCTGGAGGCAAAGCAGGATTTGGGGTGGAGGGTGACAGCTCGCGACCCCCCATGTAATAACCTCACCACCCCCTGAGGGGTCCCGAACTGATCCCCAGTTTGAGAATCCCTGCACTAGGAATTAGACTGATTTCACAAAACTCATTTCACTCAAGTCACCAGGCAGTTATCAGATGGTAAAAAACAGCCTTTAACTGGATTCAGACCAGCAGATGGGTGTGAAGGGTTCCCTACCCTTCTCAATCCCATGGAACTTCCCAATACATAGTCTCACCTAGGGGCGGACAAACCTGGATCCAAACACTTGGGCCATTTCAAAACTAGCCACTGATTTTAGCTGCCCAACCTGAGCCACCTAAGGGCCTGATTTTCAGAGGTGCTGAGCACCCAGAGATGAGCCCATGGATTTTATTAGGACATCTCTGAAAATCAGGCACAATGTGTCTGAAGTTGGGTAAGTGTAAAAACGTGTTGGGTACTTGTGGACACTTGTAAAAGTGCGGGCATCGGTCTGTCTCCTTGGGAAATGCCACTTGCTTACCCCATCCAGCTGTCCTGTGCCTGGAATAAGGTGCCACCTTGTGGCGAGACCAACGCACTACAACATTAAGTTCCATTGATCTCTGGTTATCTTGTTTATCTATCACTCCCAGAGGAAAAAAAATCGCACTTGCCATCTGGTCACCCTATACCTAGCACCCAGCTCCTCCCAGTCCCCCTAGCTCCACCCACCCTGACCAGCCCCCATTCCTCCCTGGCCAGCCCCCATCTCCTCCCATCCACCCCAACCCCTCTTCCCTTCCCAGTCCCCCCACCCCATCTCCTCCCACCCAGTCCAGCCCAGCCTCTCCTTCCCCGAGACCTTCGGCCAGCCCCCATCTCCTCCAACCCAGCCCAACTCCTCTTCCCTTCCCATCTCCTCCCACCCACCCCACCCCATCTTCTTCCACCCAGCCCAGCCCCTCGGCCAGTCCCCATCTCCTCCCACCCAGCTCAACCCTTCTTCCCTTCCCAGTGCCCCCAGCCCAGCCCAGCCCAGCCTCCTCCTCCTCCTCCCACCCGTAACGCCCTAACTCCTTCCCGAATCCCGCCTACGACATTCTGATGAATATTCATGAGCGACTCATTGATTATTC